TAAAAAACACGTGAAAAATATGAATTAATACTTTTAAAACTTTTCAAAACTATTTTGTTACTTCTTTTGTATATTTAAAGATGTTATGCTACAAAGCAAACTTAAAGAGAAAAGGTCTTCCAGATACATCAGTTACCTGCTGATGACAATCTTCATTTAAATTCAAAGAATACATGAACACATTCTTGTTGTCAAAAATTATGGATCAGGGGCTGGCCCTGTGGCCCAGTAGTTAAGTTTGCCCACTCTGCTTCGGAGGCCCAGCGTTTCACCGGTTCGGATCCTGGGCGCGGACATGGCACTGCTCATCAAGCCATGCTGAGGCGGCATCCCATGTACCACAACTAGAGGGACTCACAACTAAAAATACACAACTATGTACCAGGGGGCTTTGGGGAGGAAAAGGAAAAAATAAAATTTTTTTAAAAAAAATTACGGATCAAGCTAGAGTCCCTCTTTGACCATAATCGCCACCCAATCCTAACCCTTTCCAGAGGCAAATACTATTATCATACTCTGTGTCCTTCAGCAAGTTATGTGTACTTGTTTCTCACATTTTTGCCTGGCCACACTTAATATCACGAAACTTCATACCAACTTGATGAGTAAAAAGTTGTATCTCTGTCAAGTTGAATTTTTCTAGTTACTAGTGATAAAACAGTCTTAAAATGTTTACTTAGATTTTCTGAGAATTACTGCTCATTTTGTTTATCTTTTTTCTTATTGATTTGCGGGTATTCTTTATTTTGAATATGAAAGAATATGAATCCTTTTTTAGAATGTATTTTATAATATATTATATTGTAAATATTTATTATTCTATATAATATATATTTGGTCCATTCCTTATGCCTTATTTATTGAGATCATTTCTAGTCCACGGCAATAGACACATTCTTCTATATGTTCCTCTAATAATGTTATAAGTTTCTTCATTCGGTTCTTTAATTTGCCAAAAATTTATTTTTGTAAGTGGTATGAGGTAAGGATCTAATATTTTTTAAAACAGGTGAATAAATGTCCCAAGTCATTTATGAATAGCTTTTCCCATAAATTTAAATTTTTATCATTTAAATTGGATTGTAAGTTTCTATGCACATACAGCTCTGACTCTCGGCTTACTTGGTCTTGTTGGTCAATTTGCTTATTCTTTCACCTGTGCCAGACTTCGTACATTTTGATGACTGATGAGGCAGTTTTACTTTATACTCTAATCTGTTGGACATTGTTTTACTTTCTCAAAAACTGTTTTGGCTATTTGTTCAGCAAATATTTATCACCCACAACATGCTGTGCATGCATGTTAGTTCTCACTTTATCAACTTCCGTGACAAATCCTACTGGGCTACTTCAACGTTATGGTTACATATTTATTTAAAGTAAGTTCTTGTCTCACAAAGAGTAAAACTCGAGCCACAAAATCATATACCATAAAGATTCTCTTTTCTACCCTAGATCTTAGCAATCTGATTCTTCTGATTCATTCCTCTGAGGCAAGCAGTGTAACTAGTTTCTTATGTTTCATTCCAGAGATTTTATTTATAGATATACGAGTGTATGTGTATATATATACATTTCTTTTTTATACTAATACATGTAAAATGTAATATTACATAATATTATATGATATATCATATATGATATAGTATAATTATATGATTATATATGATTATATATTAACATATGATTATATGCATATGATTATAATACTAACATAATTTATATAATAATGTGTAACTTATAATTATGGCTTGTAATTATATAGTATGTAATATAACATGTTATGTGTATAATTACACTGTATTCACTGCTGTATACTATGCCTCTTCACTGAACAATATAATTTGGAGAGAATTCTATATCAACATATTAACAGCAGCCTCATTCTGTTTCTTATTGGCATATTATTCCATTATTTATTCAACCTTTCCTCTATTGATAGATATTTACTGTTTTCAATCTTTTTTCTACTGTGAACAAATCTACACTAAACCGTCGTGTCTATGTACCATTTCACATATGTGTAAATATATCTGTAGGATGAATTCCCATAAGTAGGCCTGCTTAGTTTTTTATTTTTTAAAAAACTCCATCTTCTGAATGCTCCTTTTCTATAGCATCTTATTCTTATTTATGTTTATAATATCTTATCTCATCCAATGTTGATTATAAAAATTTTTAAACTTTTTGTTTCTATGAAGACTCTCTTTCCATCCATTTTGCTTTGTTCCTTCATGCTGCATTTTCCTTCCCTTCTCTGAGGATGGAAACTTTTTTCAGATGTCTGCTTGTCCTCAGTTGTTTGCTCAGATTAAAATGTGGGTAATAAGAAACAAGTTGGGTGCTCTGGGCATGTGGGTGGGGCATGCCAATTTTGGCTTCACTTTGGGTGAAATGACTGGCTTTTTATTTATCATTTTTTTTAAACTTCCAACATCAGTATCTTTAGGTGTTTCCTGGGCCAGTCAGATTCCTGGATTGAGGGAGAGGCTCATGTGTTTTCCTGTCTGAAGGGAATAAATCTGAATGCTGGGAGCTCAGTGGGAGACCATGCCAGGCACCCCGCTTTCTTTGCATATCTCCTTGATTCACAGCACCCTCCCCTGGGCCTGGGATTCTCAGCTTCACCTTCCCTGGGGAATTAGTCTCCCATTTTATGCCAGAGTAAGGGGCCAGGGCCCACCTGTGTGGAGTAGGGAGGGATCTGTGCTCCTCAGCGGACTTTAAAGCTATCCCTATTTTCTGTCTGGCCCCCACCTTGGCTTAATCACTTCCTCAGCCTTCCTAGGTCTGCAAGTCCCTTACCACCCACGCATCTGGTTCCAGCTTCCAAATAACCTTGTTGTTTTCTTCTTTCCTGTTCTCATTTGACCTGCGGTTACTCCCTTTCTAGTGGGATTTTTGGAGGGCACAGTCATCGAGTATGTTCAATCAGGCATTTTAACCCAGAAGTCGAGTTCTTTGTACACCATAGTTCTCAGGACCTGGGTGTTGAGGATCGCCTGTAGTTATTCTCCGGCTACTGAGACGGAGAGCTGCAGGGCTATTCTTTTTTTTTACTTTCTGCTTTATCTCCCCAAATGCCCCCTGGTACATAGTTGTATATCTTAGCTGCAGATCGATCTAGTTGTGGCATGTGGGATGCTGCCTCAACGCGGCCTGACGAGCGGTGCCTTGTCCGCGCCGGGATGAGAACCAGTGAAACCCTGGGCTGCTGCAGCGGAGGGCGCGAACTCAACCACTAGGCCACGGGGCTGGCCCCTGCAGGGCTATTCTTAATGCGCATCCCCTCTTCTCTCCCTGCCTCCAAGACAGAATTCTTCCCGAGAATGAGGTTAGTCGGTGTGATTGTTCAGTTCCTTCTCTGCTCTTTCAAGTAAGGGGTCCCAAGAGCTTCCTTGCTTCCACTGGCACAAACTAGCAACTTTGGTTTCCCTTCTTCTTAGAGAGGGTACTTTGGCCTATGCTCACAGGTGCCCTTTTTCCACTTTCTCATTCACTCCTGCTCAGTTTCTCCTGCTGTCAGTGTCCCTCCCAGTTTTATCTTGAGGGTCCAGCTTCCAGGTCCCCTAACTTCATCCAGCATGGACTGTACTTCTGCTCTCAATCTCTCACTGCTTTTGGAAGACTTCTCGGAGAATTCTAACTCTACACTGCCATTTCCAAACTGCAAGTGTCCCATTGGGATTTTAATTGGGATCGTGTGGATTTTATAGATTAATTTTGGGGAGAACTTACATCCTTACAGTGTTAGGCCTATCTGTCCAAGAATACGCATAGCCTTTCTTAGGCCTTGTTGTGTGTCTTCAGTAACGTCTTTATAATTTTTAGCATTAGGAGTTCTTTCCTAGGTAATATACAGTTTTTGTTGTAATTGTGAATAAGATACATTTATTTTTTTTTACTACTTTTACTAATTAGTTAGTGGTATTGTATGAGAATATTGCTGATTTTTGAATGTTGATACTATATATAGTATAACTTTGACTTAAAAATTAAATTATATTTCCATGTTCCTCATAGAAAATCTGTAAAATACAAAGAAATTGGCAGAGATAACCCTAAATCCCACTATCTAGAAGGAATCACACTGTTGATATCTTGGCATATTTTCTCCTAGGCTTTAGAAATGTATCAGTAGATATATATATATATTTTGCTCAGTATCTACTAAAATGTCATAGATATCCCATTGACTACATATTTTTTATCATATGATTGTGCCATAATTTACTTAGGTTTCCTTTGTATTGGGCCCTTGGATTTCCTTTGGTTTCTTATTTACTAAACTTCTTAGGAAATACTTTAAGCTCTCATATTGGAAAAGAAAAAATTAATAAAATTCCCTCTGTTTCAGTTTCCCTGCTGGTGAAATGAGGATAACGACCAATCTTCAGGGCAGTTATGAGGATTAAATGCGAGGATGTGGCAGAGTGCTCCTTGGGTAGCTGGCACATGAGAAATGCTCAAGTCACGTCAGCTGTCATCACTTCTAAACTACTAAGCATTGCTTGTTATCACCTTCAATCTTTACGATCACCCTATAAGATAGTATTGTTATCTCAATTTAAGATAAGGAAACTAGGTTCAGAAAGGTTATGTAAGTGTCCCATTCACACAGCTGGTAAATGTCTTTGCCGCTTTAATACTTTTTTCTGAAAAATCAAATCCTTGGGTGAGGCTTGCCTAGAGCTTTGTGGGCCAGAGAAGAGACCAGTTCCCAGCAGAGGCAGAAGCAGAGCTCACTTTAGCAAGAAATAGCTTAAAATTTGCTTCTCATCTATGTGCAGAAAGTCCTAGAAGTTAAAACAACAACAACCTCCATCTTTGTTAGAGATCCTTTTTCTTAATGAGGGCTTGTCTATTATTCTAAACCACGTACCATTTAAAGAGGGCAACACATTGGGCAAAGTTGTAATGCTCTCAGTATTGTGTCCCTAAACTTAAGCCTTCTGCTTCCAGATCCCAGCCCTCCCTCCAGCACTCCATCTGCAGGATCAATGGCCTGGGTGGGAAACCAGACTCTCATCTCCCAGTTCATCCTCTTAGGCCTCTTCACCCACTCACCGCTCCACCTCTTCCTCTTTTCCGTCATCGTGATCATATTTCTGGTGGCCCTCTCTGGCAACGGGCTCATGATCCTCCTCATCAATGTCAACTCTCGCCTACACAGCCCCATGTACTTCTTCCTCAGCTGGCTGTCACTCATGGACCTCATGCTCATCTCCACTATTGTGCCACGGATGGCTGTTGACTTCCTTGTGGGCCATGGCTCCATCTCCTTCACAGGCTGTGGGCTCCAGATTCTCTTCTTCCTCACCCTCCTGGGGGATGAGTGCTTCCTGCTGGCCTTCATGGCCTATGACCGCTATGTGGCCATCAGCAAACCACTGAGGTACTCAATGGTCATGAGCCGCCGCGTCTGCTGGCTCATGGTATCTGGGTCCTGGCTCTTTGGCTTGGTAGATGGGCTCATCCAGGCCATCTTCACCCTCCGCTTCCCCTTCTGTGGCTCCCAGGAGATTGACCACTTCTTCTGTGAGGTTCCCGCCGTGCTCAAGCTGGCCTGTGCCGACACCTCCATCTATGAGACCATGATCTATGTCTGCTGCATCCTCATGCTGCTCCTGCCCTTTTCTGTCATCTCTGCTTCCTACCTGAGGATCCTGATGGTTGTGCTCCGCATGAGTTCTGCTGAAGGTCGTCAGAAGGCCTTTGCTACCTGCTCTTCCCACATGGTGGTGGTCTCCCTCTTCTATGGGGCTGCCATAATCACCTACATGCAGCCCCAGGCCTACCACTCCTCCAAGCAGGACAAAGTGGTCTCTGCCTTCTATACCATGATCACCCCTATGCTCAACCCACTCATCTACAGCTTGAGGAACAAGGAAGTGACTGGGGCACTCAGGAAACTCCTCGGTAGGTGTTCCTATGGTGGGTAGAAGGGCTAGGTTGTCACTGGCACCTGCAGATGTGGGTTCTGGGGCCCAGGAACCTGGACTAGGCAACCATAGTTTGATTGGAAGAGAAACAAATAGACCTACTGAAAATAAGGTCATTCTCTAACCAGAGTTAATCAGATTAACACATCAATTCAATCTCGCATGTCCATGCTGAGTGTTTGCAATGTGGAAGGATGGCTAGGCCTATAGGGTTCAAAAGACCAGAAGATACAGAGCCTATATCCCACAGAGTCAGGAGGTGCTAGCTCTCAGCTATGTCCCTCTCTAGGAATTGCCCATGGCTAAGGAGAGGTACCTTGTCCAAGGTCATGTTTCTCCTTGCGGGGCTGCTTAAATCCCATTACTGGTCAAAGAAAAGTATAAAAGCATGGCCTCATTGCCTCAGTTTGACCCTGAAGGGCCATCTCAGCTCCAGAGCTCCCTATAGGATCATCTTCGACATCACAGGCATCCCATTTTGCTTGCTTAACTTGCTTCAGTGCAAGGAAGCACAGTGCAAGGAAGTGTGGCAGGAAGCACTGGGAAAGGCAAAGGGGAGGAGACGGAGATGTGCACAGCAGGATGCCAGACAGAAGAAAGGCTTTTACACGTGCTCAATCTCTCCATGGTGTCATCTAAGATGCCTCTCAGATCTCCATCTCCATCCTGACCCTGGGGACAGCCCTCAGAAACCCCTTCTTGGAGTTCTCTGCCCCAAGAGCTTTGAGTTCTGAGAACTTTCTGCTTCTCTGAGGTTTGTTCTGTCCTACATCTCAACTCTGACCAGAGTGGGAAGTACTGAGAAGTGATGTAAGCTGAGCGGAAGGGTGTTCTCACAGTTGAAGGAGTGTTGTTCTTGAGCACTGGTGCAACCTCGCAGGAGTGAGGGTGTGAGTAGGTTCTTCAGAAGAGAAAGAGACATATGGGAAGAGTTAGGTGGAACCTAGCAGAAACCTTTTTACTCCTCCTGCCTTCCGTATATTTCCACTGAAGAAAGGAGATCACAAAATAACAAGATAAAACTTTGATAGAATCATTCATTCTCAAGACTTGATTTAAATCAAAAGACTTGAAGTGTGATGATAATCTGAATAGCCCGTGTTCAAGAGAAGCAAATGTTATGGAAATAAACTTCATATCTAACTTATAGACATTACTTACATCCTCCTAGTTTCCTTTTAGAGTGTTTACTGGTGCTTCTAAGGCCAGGACTAGGACATATGGGAACATGTAACACAGAGGTGAGTCTTGGCAACAGGAACCCTAAGCATGCCTGGAGTCGATTTCTAGAGCTTGGAGAAGACTGTGATTCAGACTAGCTAACGCTACACGAAGCATAGTTTCAGGTTCAGCCTGCACTTGAAAATCATGGAGATTCTTGCATGAGCCATTGTCCAAATGGGCTTGCATATGTTTGCATATCGCTCATGTCCTTTTCCTCATCTGATGTTGCATCTGGGATGATAATGTCCTAGTTAATCAGAAAGTTTTACTCCCTTTAAACACCTCACTAAAGTTATCACATCCCAAGCAGAAGAGAAATCACTCTTGATTTATCCTGAGTGGTGCTTTTGCAAGAATGTGACAATTAAGATTTGTGTTTCTCATGGAAAACTGTATTTAATTGTGAACTTGTTTAGATATTCATCAGCCTTTACACCAGAAGAGTTCCTCCTGTCGTGGCTTCTGTGACATGGTGTGAGAGTTGGGCTAAGTCTCTTCCCTTTGCCTCTCCTATCATCTTGAATCTCTCCAGGCCACAGCCCAACTCTGTGATGGGCCTAGGGTTGGTGGCATGGAGTGGGGATAAAGGGAATCAGGGAGGATTCCTGGGGAGTAGAGGCATCTAGTCTCATTGTTTGACCCTGGTAGAAAGGGGAGGGTAGAAATGCCCATGGTGGGGCTGGGGGAGTTGAGGGATGATTTTTTACAGATGAGGACATCTGAATTCTGAATCAAGATGGTGCAGTACATTCATGCATCATAAACCTCTCTACTCAAAACATTTAGCAATAATGGATAAAATATAAAAAGAGAAAACAAAGAAGATGCAACTGCTTTCAAATACAAGATAAGAAAATCTGTGGAATAGAAACAATAGAGAAATGCCAAATGGTGAGCAGGGCTGAAACTACAGGCTTTGAAACTCCCAGGGGGGCAACAGTTCAGTCATGCAGGGTGAAGGTCCCTACAAGAGTCGCTGAAAGATGAGGAACGGGAGCCAGAGGCTGAGGAAGGCCTCCATATCCTAACCCGAAAAGAAATTGAAAGACCTACTGCCAAGTGCCCCTGGGGCCCTGGTTCTGGTGAGCTGCAGGGCTGGGGAGGCTCATGGAGCCCAGTGCCCAGCCACTTAGCTCTGCCACAGTGTCGACATCAAGTGGGCAGCCACAGTGAATTCTCACTCTAAAACTGCTTCAAGATTTGGTGCCCAGAAACCTGGAAAGAAGCAATCACCAACCAGAGCAGAGCATGGAGGTGGGCACACGTTTTTGCACAGGGACATGCACAAGAGAAACAAAAAATGATAATAATAGAATGAGAAATCCAAATCTCCCCTTCAAAAGGAGCCTGAAAACAAACAAACAAGTAACTAAAACATAACCCAAGTCAACACTATAATTCACTCAAGACGAAATTCGTACTAGTGTAGAAGAATTAGACAAAGAATTTAAGATAGTATTTTGAACGTGTATGAAGAGGCAAGTGAAGCTGTAACTTTCACCAAAGTAGAATACCAAATAGTAAAGCAAAAATAGTCAGAATTAACCAGGAATGGTGACTGTGAAAAATAACCAATGAAAATTATGTGGGATAAAAATAGTGCATCAAAATTTAAAAGTGACATAGATTGGAGGTAGGTGAAGAGAAAACTGGTTAACTGAAAGCTGGTACCAAGGCACTCACTCAGAATTAAGCATAAAGAAGCACAGATTATCAACATTTGAAGAATCCGTTCAGAAACCCAGAATATAGACTGAGAGGTTTCAAATTAACCTAAGATGAGTTCTAGAAGAAGGCAATGGGGGGAATGAATGTTGGAGAAGTGACATTTGAAGAGGAAATTGCTGAGTATTGCAGAAAGACCTGAGTTCTCATGATGAAATGCTCTCTGAATTGTGAGCAAGATCAACAAAGAGAAACCCTCTCAGATATACTGTAGTGAGACTGCAGACCTCAAGATTAAAGAAAGAATCCTAAATGCAACCAGAAAAAGACAGAAGGGTCAATAGTAAGTGATTGACAGTCAGCTTCCTCACATTCCTCATCATGACAGTCAAGAGCAAAAGATAGTGGAGCGGTAGCTACAGAGAGCTACAGGGAAAACATTTACCTGGAAGTTGCATTTCGTCACGTTGTCATTTAAAAAAGAAAAAAAATGGACATTTTCAGGCTAATAAAAACAGAGGGGGTGTTTACTGCCCACAGACTCCCACTGAAACAGCTATTGAATGATGTTTTTCAGCGAGAAGGAAGTGGAACACTGAGGGAAGGTTACAAGATACTAGAGGGAGCTCAGTTATTGCTAAAATATATCTGAAAGTGTAATTAGTTACTGATTTTTAAAAACTCAACAACTAATTTTTTGTGTTTAAAGAAAGCATAAAACTAAATCCTCAAATAACAATAGCAACTTGTGGCATGATCAGGAAGAAGACAAAAGTGCTGATGTAAGTTGAGAGTCATAGGAGATGCTCCTGATGGCCCACCCGTGGGCTCTGGGCCTTCACTGTTCCACTGCACAACATCAGCTCTTACTGCAAACACCCGTGCCTCCGTGCCTGAGTGCTTTCTCTGGCTGAGTGTGGGTTCAGCTGCCCGCAGGAAGGGCCAGGGGTGCTGGGGAGTTGAGGCCCCTGAGAGCAGCCTTCAACTCATCCACCTGACAGTTGGTGGAGAAATGTCCCAGCTTCCTTGCCCCTGGTTTTGGGTCTGTGAACACCTTGCAGACATGCTGTGCACCCTCTCTGAGGTCCTCACAGGATTGGGCCTCAGCTGTCCAGAGTGGTAACCCTGGATTGTCCTCATTCCTTTCTGTCTAACGTCTCCAGGTGCCTTCTGGGATCACCTCCAAAATACATTACATGACTTGAATCCTAGTCCAAGGTAGGCCAACCTAAGACAAATGGTGATGGTTGGGATGCATAGGACTCTCTTATTTTCTATTGATCTCAATAACCTAGTAGATTATATGAAAAGAATTGGGAGAAAAATGTAGAAAGAAGAGAAAAACTGAAAATGAAAAATTTTAAATTAATTTTGAAAAGAAGGAGGCCTTTTTCACAGTCAAGGGAGAGAGAAAAGTTTGGAAAGAAGCATATTGTACATGAATCTGGGCACTTTCCTAGGATATACAAGTGATAATGAGGTTGAGGAGGAAGGAGAAGACTGATGAATTCTGGCATTTCATACCTTGACTCCCAGAGGCCAACCTCATCTTTGATAGGTCCCTGTCAAGTTCCCCAAACAACAGGATAAGGCTGCAGGCGTCAGGACCCCACTGCAGGCGAGACCGGCATTCGTCACCACTGTCTTTTTTAGATTCAGCTATGAATTGATTCATCAGATGAACTTGATGTTGAATGAGACAATCCCTTTTTAGCCGGATCTCATCCAATGGAAGTAGGAATGAACAGAACATGGCAGCACAACCCTGGTATCGTCTATGGCAACTTGAGACTTCAGAGCAAGGAGAGGTAGTCAAGAAGCTGTTTACTCATTTCCTAAGGAAAGTGGGCAAAGTGCAGGGCACAGCACATCAGCGTGATTCTTCTTGAGCAGGAGTCTTGAGCTCTTTCCTCATGTTGCTGTCTCACAAGACATAGATAAGAATTGTGAGACAGCCATGGGGACCCTCTAATTGAGATAATAGACAGCATCATCCCTTCCCCAGCTCAGTGCTTCTCAAACTTTTCCAGGGCAAAATAACCACCTGTCAGGTAGTCATCAATAATGCGGATTCCAGGTTCCTACTTCCAGGGATGAGAAGTCAGCAGGGCTGGGTGTATCAGTGTTGAAGATGAAGCTGTGAGAAACGTTTGCTGTGATTCTGAATCACAGACAGAATGACTCTTGTTCTGTCCTTCACCGTCTCTGGCTTCCTGCAGGTAGCTGGTGCCTCTCCATCCTTAGGGAGCTTTCCAACATCTGCAGGAATAACTCTCCTTACCCGAAAAGACCTCTCCCTTTCCCTCTGCTAAACTGGGTCCCTTCCCTTCATTCAAACCTAGGAATTCTAATGTGATTAATGTTCTTTTTTTTGCATTTCTCTTTA